TGCAGTGTTTGTGGGTTTTCTTCATGAAGGTCCAGCTTCATTCAGCGGTGACCTCTTTAACACACACAGACACACACCGTCTGCCATCCATGACCGAGACCAGTGAAGTGGATGAAGCTGACTTCCCGCTGCCTGTCTGGGTAACAGTCCAAGGAGGTCAGGGTGTTAGGTAGAGATCTAGGAGCTTCATAGGAAAACATAAACCCTCACAGGCCACACACTCACAGAATTTACTGTGCAAATGTAGCTGATAAGAAGCTATAGGCGGATAATTAGTCATAACAAATACACCAAGATGTAAATATCTGCACAGATAAGGTCAATTAAGTGCAGTACCTGTGTTTGACCTCAAGAGGGAGACTTACACCACACATTAGATCTCAAACACAGTTTTCACTCATATGAATTATTAAAAAAGGAAAAAATTAAATAATACAATAATAACAAGTGAACAATTACAGTTTTTAACTTTTTTGCTGCCAACTCAAACTGTTAGCCTCTAGACAAGAACACCATATTTTCCCTCTGGTGTCATTTTTGTGCCTCCCCTGATTGGAAAGCTGAGTTTTCATTTATTAATTTTACTAATGGCCGTTTGGTATCGATTCAGGCTTCCCATTTAAAAACCAATCCATTAATTTCTATTTCCCTAAGAGGCAGTATAAATATTCCGGTCGTGCTCCCTGGAGTCTTTGTCCTCACGGGTAAACAAATGTTCACAACAACACAAACAGGTAGCTGGGGTCTCAATAGCCTGGTGTTAGTGCTGTTAAAGACGGTGGAGAGGAGAGGAGAGGAGAGGAGAGGAGAGGAGAGGAGAGGAGAGGAGAGGAGAGGAGAGGAGAGGAGAGGAGAGGAGAGGACTATTTGCATATCTAGAAGCAACAACCTTCTTTCTGTAATAGACCTAAATGCAAAAGACCCACTCTCACTTGTGCAGTAGCAGACTGGTCATCAAACACACATTGTGCTTTTGCTTAACAGGTTTTATCTGATCTTTAGGCTCTTGCTCTAAATACCATTCCAAGTTTATTTGTAAAGCACATTTAAACACGGCATGAGAGCCAACCAAAGTGATGAACAAAAACACATAATAAAAACAATTAAACATAATAAAAAGTAAATCTATTAAAATCGAGTGATTCAGGTACAAGAGAAAAGGAAAAAGAGAATAAATTAGGCTGAATTAAAAGCCAGAGAGTAAAAGTGAGTTTTTAAACAAAGGGAAAGAGAGGAAGAGAGTCTGATCGGGAGGGGCAAGTGGTTCCAGAGCTTCGGTCAAACTGAGAAAGCCCGGTCCCCGCGGGACTTACAGCGGGAACTAGGGACATGAAGAAGGTGCTGGTCGGCTGACTGGAGGGATCGCGTAGGGACATAAGGGTTAATGAGCTCAGACAAGTAGCCAGGTGCTAAGTTATTGAGGGACTTGAACACAAAAACCAGGATCTTAAACGTATCTGGAGATAGATGGGGAGCCAGTGGAGATTTGCCAAAGCCGGTGTGATGTGTTCTTGCTGCCTGGTGCCAGTCAGGAATCGAGCTGCTGCGTTCTGCACTAGCAGTGAGGGTGGGTGAGAGTGGAGGTTGAGATACCATTTAGTACTGAATTAGAGTCGTTGAGACGGGAGGTAATGAAGGCATGGACAACTGAATGGAGATGAGGCCTTTTTAAAATGGGCTTAACTTTAGAGAAATGGCTCAGGTCTGAATGTCCATTTTTAGGTTAGCATCCATCACGACCCCTAAGTTTGTGACACGGGTTTTCAACCCACTTGAAATAAAAGGAAGGGTCAGTTGGGGGCTAGGTGGGGGCTTGGGGAAGTCTTAGGGCTGAAAATGATAGCCTGTTTTGGCATCATTCAGCAAAAGAAAGTTCTCAGACAGATAGCTCTTCACGTCATTGAGGCATTCAACGAGGAGCTGTAAGGAGTCATTAGGCTTCACAGAGGCATATAATAGGCAATCGTCTGCATATAAATGGTAGTCAACATGGTGTTTTTTAAAAACGTCACCCGGGGCAAAATATATAAATTAAATATAAGGAGTCCAAGAATAGAGCCCTGAGGTACACCACAACAGCCGAGTTAGTAAAATAGCGTGATCAACCATGTCGAAAGCATATACATATTTATATATGTGTATATATATGTATATACATATATATATATATATATATATATATATATATATATATATATATATATATATATATATATATATATATATATATATATATATATAATTAATTTATATTTCTGTCCGGGCCAAAAAAAAGGTTGCCACCAAATAGAAAGGCCACACATTCTAATATTTCATTGGACTGCCTTTAGCTTTGATTATGACACACGTTTGCTGTGGCATTGTTTCAACAAGCTTCTGCAATGTCACCAGATTTATTTCCATCCCATTAAGATCTTCCATTGATGGTGGTAGAGTCTGACCACTGCACAAAGCCTTCTCCAGCACATCCCAAAGATTTTCAATGGGGTTAAGGTCTGGACTCTGAACCACTCTTTCACTATTTGAGTCCGGTGAATCCTGACATTATCTTGGAATATTGCTGTGCCATCAGGGAAGATGGAATAACCTGGTCATTCAGTATTCAGGTAGTCAGCTGACCTCATTCTTGGAGCACATCCTGTTGCTGAACCTAGAACTGACCAACTGCAGCAAGCCCAGATCATAGTACTTCCCCCACAGACTTGTACAGTAGGCACTAGGCATGATGGGTGCATCACTTGATCTGCCTCTCTTCATACCCTGATGCACCATCACTCTGGAACAGGGTCCATCTGGACTCATCAGACCAGTTTTTAATAATGCGTTGGACAGTTCTTAACCATGTTTTAGTCGTTTCTATAATCCCCTTAGATGTTTTCTCTTCTTGATGCCAATAATCTGACCCTTCTCAAACAGACTAATAACATCTTTTCCACGACCACCAGATGTGTCTTTCCACGTGTTTAAGAAACAAGAAGCAACTCACTGCACCAGTTGAGGGTAAATGGCCTGTATTTGTAGGTTCTACAACCCCCGAAGGCACTTTACAACACAGGCATTCACCCATTCACACACACAGCTGCCCTAGGGTACCCTGACAGAGTCGAGGCCTGCTGAACACTGGCACCACTGGTCCCTCTGGTCATCAGAGCAAACTCATTTTGGCCGCTTGTATCCGCGATCTCGTTCTTTCGGTCACTACCCAAAGCACATGACCATAGGTGAGGATAGGAACGTAGACCGGTAAATCGAGAGCTTCGCCTTCTGACTCAGCTCTCTCTTCACCACAACAGACCGGTACAGCGCCTGCATCACCGCATACGCAGTACCAACCCACCTATCGATCTCACGCTCCATTTTTCCCTCACTCGTGAACAAGACGCAGAGATACTTAAACTCCTCCACTTGGGGCCGGACCTCATCCCTGACCCGGAGAAGGCATTCTACCCTTTTCCGAATCAAGACCATGGTCTCAGATCTAGAGAAAAATTATTATTATTATTACATTTTTTAATTATTATTATTATTTAAGAAAAAATAAAGTCATAAAATCATAATGATCTCAGGATGCGTCTGTAAGCAAGGCCATGCCTGCAGGTTGCTCTGTGCCGCATGGTGAAGAATGTTAAATTTGACCTTAAAGCTCTTCCGAGCACTTGCAAGATTGCGGAATAAATTCAATTTGGCACAAAGTTTGGACGGCTTATCTTGTGCCTTGCCATTCATTTCTACAGACATTGGGGCTCTGGTGGATCACTGGCCAGCAGCCTCCTGTCTCAGGACAAAGAGATGCATTAGACACAACTTTTCAATGGGAAGTAATTGTGTGTGACCACAATACAAGGACCGGCCTATGCAACACAAAGCTCAGTGTGTTCATTGATAAGATAACAGCAGCAAATGGTTTAAATCACACTATTCAGTTATATATGAGGAGCTGGGAAAGTGGATTTGAATAAAAAATGTTTTATTTTTTGCTGCCTTAAAGATATTTCATTCATTAAGATATTTTATTTTTATTCCAAGTCTTTGCTAACCTCAGATTGATGTTGTTTTCATCCCTGCTGTAGGAAAGGAACTTCCAGATGTTGTTGCCTTGGTTGCGTTATGTAAGTCAGTGCAAAGTAGGGATTTTACTGATGGTCACATGGATAGACCAGAGCTTTGGGCTCCCACACAAACACAGACAACAGATTATGCCCAGGATTTGAAGAGTAAATCTGTCGCTGCAAGATGGCGTTTCTACTGGATGCATGGGGGCAATTTTGGGCTGGATATAATACAACGCTGTTTTTGTGTGTAACAGAAGAGCACGCTTTGAATTCAGGTTGCTGCAACACTTTCTGCACTAAACTCTTCTGACTTTCTGAGACCTTAAACCTAATCCATGAGAGAAATGCACATAGGTGGCTTTTGCCTTAGAAAAGGGCTTTGAAAAAATCTAGTGAGGAGGCAGCTCTAACACAGAAAGGCTGAAGACAATCATGTCAGTGCAAAAGCATGCAAATATGAAATGTGTACTTGACTTGCAGGAGGCTGTGTGTGTGTGTGTGTGTGTGTGTGTGTGTGTGTGTGTGTGTGTGCGTGTGCGTGCGTGCTTGTGTGTGTGTTTATGTATAGGTGTTTGTGTGCGCAGCTGCAGCTGCTCTGCTCCAAATATAGCTACTGGCACACATTGATTACACAGGATCATTAGCATTTGCTCCCTTTGCCACGGATGATTACAATGTTTGTGTTTTCAGTCATATGATGCACGTATGTGTTTTTGCACGTAGTTTTTAGTAAGCACGTGTAGTCATAACCTGCTTTAAATTTCTGTCCCCGTGTGATGTCATTTAATGTATATAACGGCTGACTGGAATCCAGCAAAATGCAGCCAAGTGGGTGGCGGTGGTGTGTTCACACACACACACACACACACACACACACACACACACACACACACACACACACACACACACACACACACACACACACACACACACACACACACAGCGCGCGCGCGCGCGCGAGTGCATGTAAAGTGATCGTGGCAGCAGAGCAGAGATGTGGCAGCGGAGCTCTCCGGGACTCCATGGCCAGTCGTCTTGTCACTTTTACCTGTAATCATCTGCCTGACGTTACCGCGCAATGACGGAGCTTTAATGTCCAGTTGGTCCCGCTGCTTGACCGCACCGCGCAATGCTACCAGGAACAGCCGCCGCTCGGACGATATCTGTCGGATTCGGGACTGGTTTGCGGGAGTAGCTTGTGCTGCTAGCGCAGGGCTAACGCCTGTGCGAAGAAGATGCTGCGGTGGATACGCCAGCAGCTGGTAAAACTCTTCCCAGCCGTGTTTTAATGTCGGACTGCATTAGCTTGGCTAACGTGACTCGAGCTAGCCTACGAAAAGCTGCGTGAACTTTATTTGTCTGAATTCAGCAGGCTAGCCTAACTATTTAGCTGTTGAAAACATTGCCGTTGTTTGTCTCGGCTTCCTTGATGACAGGTAGACGGGTCAGGCTACAGTCACCTTCCCTAAGCTAACAGTTGGTACTTACGTGAATTAATGTAATAAGATCAGAATTTGTCACGGTTTGTGGGTCCGTTTTAGAGTTTAAGTCATTTTAATGTAGTTTGAACGTGTTTTCTGACGGTAATTGTACCTGAATCTCCACTAACCGAGCACCAGCTAGCTAACACGGTAGAAGTAGGTGAAGTGGAGCAGTTTGAACAAGTTTTACCACGGTGTTGTTTCCCCTACTGGCTAGCTTAAAACAAACGTTGCTGTTGCGGGATATCACTTCACGTCTGGAGAGTATAAAAAATAAAATACCGGTTGGTTTATGTCTCTGTTTTTAATTCGTGACATGCCGCTAATTATTGCAACAACACACGTCCATTTTAATGTTCTGTCGGGAATATCCGTAAAGATCATTCTAGAGTTGTTTACTGGCGATGGGTGATAAAGTCACGTACAAGTAAAAACAATAAAGCTACACTTTGATAAGCCCTGATTTAATATTACAGACGCAGAAAGAACGCCCTTAATTTTTTAATTGCGGCTTTAAAACGGATAGAAATAAATCCACATAAACATTTACATCCACTTGTTTTTATTTAGGACAAATGACCTGAAAGGCAGCTTGTCTTTTCTAGTGGAAGCCCTGATTAAAAGAGCAGCAAGACATATTACTGATATTAAATAAATAGTTTATCAAACACCTTGTGTTGTTGAATGCAGTCTTGTAAAGCTTCAGTCAGTTTACTACAGCTTGAAATGGTTTAGGAAAATTTAGTTTTTAAGTTATTAGATTGCATGTTACGTCCTGCTCAGCAAACTACTAGTTTGAGAAAGACTGCTTTGTCAGGTTGTTATAAACAGTAAATACAGTTCTTTTTGGTTTGTTTTCAAACCAGTTTCCCTGGTGTAGATTGTGAGTTACAGCAGCATCATTGTGCTCAGATTAGTTTTAGGGGATGTTTCATTGGCACTGTGTTTATAGCTCTAATGTCTTAAATGTTGTCATTTCAGTTCAAGGCATGCTTGGATTTAAGTCTTTATTGACATTCACTCTGTGAGTAAATGAAACGTGTGATTTGCAGAGATGATGTGGTAGAGAAGACACATGGTTAAACCACTGATGTTGGGTCTTCATGTCACATTTTCATGTCACTGCTAAATATGCTTAAAATATTTAAAGAATTTTCTGTCTTCTTATTTTCCTGCCTGTTTTTTTTCCACTTGACCATTGCCTTTTAGTAAAACCTCAGAGAGTTTGAGTCGATTTAGAAAGGAACGTCTTCCTAATTTGCTGCAGCTCAGCTTATTTGACCCATCCTACAAAACTGACCTGCCTTGTTAATTAAAAGTGTAATTAAAGAGCATCCTAATTCACCTGCCCTAATGAAAATACTTGTTGGAGGGCATTTGTCTGGCCTTGATATCAGCTGAAAGGCAGCAAAGTGCTGCTTATCATGTAGGGCTGCACAATATTAGGAAAACCTGCGATATTCGATAAGTCATTAATGTTGTGATGACGATATAACTTGCGATGAATAAAAACTTAACTCAGGAACAAAAATAATCAAAAACAAAGAAATTAAAAAATCATAAAAACGAGAAAAGCAAAAATGTGAGGAAAGGGAAAAAGAAAAGGCAATCAGTGGATCCTGGGAAAAGCAGAATCCGCTAAAAGAGCTGAACAATGCAAACTCAGGTGTTTGCTAACCATCAAAATTAACTCATTCACTGCCATTGACGACTAAAGTCGTCATTTTAGATCCAACTGTTCACTGCATTTTTTTACAGTTTGGGCATCGGAACGAGCCCCCACGCTGAGAGAACAAACATCTCAGCTCTGAAGCCGATCTTCATCCACATATGTCACACGTCACATGATCAGGAAGTAGAACGTCCATGTGTAAACGGTTGGCAGTGAATGAGTTAAGTACCGTCCACCTCGGGGGTGGGCATCTAACCTATGAGAACCCACCCAACTGGCCAAATGGGTGAAGAGCTCTATTTGATTAGTTAAAAAAGCCATCATGCTTCCGTTTGATTGACAGAATGTATCATGTGTAGCAAACATTTGAGATGACCATTCATTGCGATATTTATCTGTTCTTTGCGATATGTATATTGTGCATGCTGATATCGCGATAACGATATATTTACGATATATTGTGCAGCCCTATTATCATGTATTATTGGTGGTGGTGGTGTGATGCGCCAGCTGAGGCTACATTGTAGCTCATCATCACCAGCGTGTGAATGTGTGTGAACGGGTGGATGACTGAATGTGTTGTAAAGCGCCTTGGGGGGGTTGCAGAACCCTAAGAAGGCGCTATACAAATACAGGCCATTTTGATGTAATTATTTTTCCCAGAAACAGCGAGAGCGATGTGGTGGTGGCAGGTTGACAGGTTTCTTTCTATAAGCAGTGCTGACTTCATGTCACTACTTCTGCATGTATGCCATAAAGGAGCTTCTCTAATTACGGCTTACGTAATCTTAGCATCTGTGAAAACTCACTGAGATGCTTACTTGGATATTTTGCAGCAAGGCATTGAATGTTGTTTTGGATGTGGCTTTCAGAACATCTCAGATGTTTACGACTCTAGGCTTCAGTAAACTTTACTGTTGTAAATCTTTAGCTGTGAGAAATAGAGAGGAATTGTAATGTTTGACTCGCATGCACTTGTCATCCTGGCTTGTTGGGATGTTCTTTATATTTGCAGTCACAGTCAGAAGCTCTTTGCTGTAGCAACTCTAGTAGTCTGCTGTCATGCAGCAGTAAAAAACTAATACATATATATTGTACTCCACCCTTGATAAAACATTACCATCCCATGACTATAGTTTTTCTTCTGGGCAATTATGCCTTGTTAGATATCAGTTTGGCATGTCCATGTTGGTTATTACCGGTGTAATTAATCATGAACTCTAAAACAACAACAGCAGCATATGTACTTACCAGCACTTTTATTATTCTCTGTGTTAATTTATTCTTTCTTTGCTGGATGGTCTTTACGAAACGATTGCCTGCTGGTTTCCACATCCAGCTTGTTGCATTTGATTAAAAGCCTCTCTGCCTTTAGTACAACTTGGTGTACAGCTTTGGTCGTCTTGCATTGTGACTGTTCGGGGCAGTGATTTCTCCAAGGCACTGGGGGACTTGTAGGCTTCAGGCAGGGTGTAATTACCTGTCTGCCTTCAAATTGAAGTGGGCATTAGAGTCGGCAGACAAAATGAGAAGTCAGATTTTAGCCACAGAGTGTATATGTGTTAACCACATGGTGGCTGATTATTTTATCTGTGTGTTTTTTAAATTTCTATTTCCATTGTTGTGTGTCTACCTCACTGGATAAATGTGAACACTTCAGCTGAAAAGTGTGATCAGAAAATGTGTGACATAGCTTAGACTGAAGGTATGAGAATCTTCTTCATTTGCAGTGTTAGCTTATTTGTACCGTTTTGTTGTAATGGAAGCTTTAGCATCTCTCAACTGATCTGATATGCCTTTAGTACGTTCGTTCTGTGTTGTTTATCAAATTCCATTGTTTGGTTCTTTTTAGCACACAGTCAGTGCGTTTACATGCACATCAGGAAACCAAACTATTGCTCTAAAAAGATTCACGTCAGGAAAGGTTTCTCTTTACCTTGCTGACAGTTTCGTTTGCCGACTGCTAAACATCGTCAGAGCTGACGCTGATGGTGGTGTCACTTTCTACTCCGTTTATTCGCGGGCAGCAGAGGACGTTGTCGCTAGGGATGCACCGATCAGGTTTTTTGCTGCCGATCACCGATACCGATATCAAAGAATGCTGATCACCGATACCGATCACCGATACCGATCACGTGGATTGGCCAGAAATTTTCTACAACATTATAATGAGTGCTACAAACTACATAATCTGGGAATAAAGGAAATGTAACCTAATCTAAAATGGTCTGTATTAGGGTTGTCACGGTGTGAAAATTTAACCTCACGGTTATTGTGACCAAAATTACCACGGTTTTCGGTATTATCGCGGTATTTTTTTTAAACTTGCTACATTTTCACACAATTAAATAAACCCTGTATGTCAGGAAATATTGTCCTCAGTTTGTGTCTAAATTTTGCCTAAAATGTGTTATTTTGTAATTATGTTGTTTATTCCATGCTTTCGTTCTTTTTTAAACACAGAAACAGTTTTGTTTACCTGTTTGTAGCTACAGTTTCGCCGACGGCTGCCGGCTTCTTCAGGCTGACGCTGATGGTGGCGCGTCACTTCCTTCTCCGTTTATCTGCGGGCAGCAGAGGACGTTGTCGCCCTCTACTGCCCGCTCTCCCCTCTCCGACGATGCAGTCCCATGCGTGGTCCAGCGTGTAAAAGAGGCAAATCGTAAACACACAAGAGCAGCAAAAGAAGAAGCAGAAAGTACAATAAAAAAGTCGGCCGTAACAGATCATTGCTTAAGAGAAAACCATGTAATGGACTGGGACAACACACGGATCATAACCACCGAACAACAAAAATACAAAAGATGGATCAAGGAAGCAATCGAGATAAGGAGACGTGGATGTGGGACCATGAACAGGGACGACGGAGTTTACACGCTGGACCACGCATGGGACTGCATCGTCGGAGAGGGGAGAGCGGGCAGTAGAGGGCGACAACGTCCTCTGCTGCCCGCAGATAAACGGAGAAGGAAGTGACGCGCCACCATCAGCGTCAGCCTGAAGAAGCCGGCAGCTGTCGGCGAAACTGTAGCTACAAACAGGTAAACAAAACTGTTTCTGTGTTTAAAAAAGAACGAAAGCATGGATTTAGAAAGACTAGGGCTGTAGC